AAAAAAAAAAAAAAAAAAAAAAGATAACTAAATAAAAAGTCTGGGAATGTGCGAAGGGCTTGGGTGTTCAATCTTCAGTGCCAAAAAAAGAGGCAGAGAAATTCAGAAATACTTATCAAGTACCTGCATCATCTCAGTTAATCACAAAACTATCCCCCACGAAGTAGTTTACCCCCAAGATCATTTTGGCACCGTAGTGGCCCTGTCAGAGACACACATTCATGTGCAAGTGCTTCCAGCAATTTCACCAAGCTAAATCCTGAGTGTCCTCGGACCTTCTGGACCGTAGAGAGACGAAGAGCAGTGGATTCTAGGATTTGCTATGCCCCAAAAGAGCCCCGACCCTGCGTGCCAGTACCCGCCTCGGCTGCCCGTTGGTCGCTCGGGTCCTCGAATTAGCCAATGAGAAGTACACAGGTCCTGGTCGCCTGGGAAACCGCGTGTCAACAAGATGGCGGGGCCGGAACAGCACGCTGTACCCTTGTGGTGAGTCCCTGGCCCAAGGCCTTTCAATGGTCCCCTCAGGGAGAGACCTCGCCCCGGAGTTCCCCAGAGTCCCCAGAGCCAGCAACTTCCTGAGCCCGGCTGCCCTAATAACGATTTGGGCCCGGGGAGAGTGTTCGGACTCCGCTCTCCATGACTACATACGGCTGCGGAGGGGGCGACTCGGATCCCGGGGCGTGGTCAGGTCGTGGTAGTTGTACCCCTGGGAATTAGGGAGACAAGGCCTGCAACACGCAGCCTGTTGGCTGTGGATCCTGGAGCTAGGAATAGGCTGAGGAGTTGTGTTGAAGGACGTTGTCAGTCAAGCACATGTGGTACTGTTTGGTCCCAAAGAGTAGAAGCACAGGAGTTTCAGAGCCCGGATCTGGAGAGAGATAGCCCTACCTTTAGGAATTTTCGACCTGAAGGGGAAGACACTGTCCTGCCCTGGAAGCCCCCTGTAGTGAAGAGGGTGTACTACTAGAGTCTGTCCTCAGAGTCTCCTAGGCTGAGGAAGGAAGAGACACAATCCTACCCTTTCCAGACGAGTGGGGAGACAGTCTTTGCCCTGAGGGATCTCCTAAAATCTATGGGTAAACAAATCTGGAGACGTGTCGAAGTGGACGAGAATGAGACTGGAAGCAGGACAGTTAGCGAGCAAGCCCCACAGAAAGTGCGGCGAGTGTCGCATCAGGGGGGCCAGCAGCGAGCATTGAAAGGAGACACCGCAGAGTTTTGTCTACAGGGTTTGGTAATTGATGTAATTAAGAGGGGAGGGGAGGGGAGGAAATTTTTGCGGTTGGATAATGGAGTTCCATTAAGAAGGGGGAAGGGCTCAGGATTTAGCTCAGCGGTTCGGTGGCCTTCCTTGCAAGTGCAAGGACCCGAGTTCGATCCCTGGCATCAAAAAAAGGTGGGAGGGGGGATTGCAGAAGTTGGTTTTGTTGGAAGATGTTGAGTTTGGTTTGGGAGCCAGCTTTAATTGTTTACCTTTGTGATAGCTTTATTGATACATAATTCACCTATTCTGTAGCATTTTAAAGGGTAAATTTCAATCAACTTTAGAAACACTCCATGTTATATGAAATGTCCATAATGGGAAAATCTGTAGAAACAGAAAGTAGATTAGTGACTGCTTAGGGTTGGCTGGGGAGAGGGCGCTAAATGGAGTATGGGTGACTACTAAAAGATACTGGTCTTTTAGGCTGATGAAAATGTTCTCAAATTGTGATTGTTTGCACATCTCTGAATACATTAATAACTTAATTGTATGCTTTAAAAGGGTGAGGTATATTTATAAAATGACAATAAAAGTATTTCTAAAAAAGATTATATACACTATATGACTCCATTTATATAATGTTCCTAAAGTAAGAAAATTATAAGATGAAAAAGAAAAGAGTAGTGATTTCCAGGGATTAGGGCTGAGGAAGAAGAATGGGTGTGTCTGTAAAGAGGCAGCAGGAGGAAGACCTCTGCTGGGGCGGAATAGGGCTGCATTTTTCTTTTTTTTTTTTTTTTTTTTTTGCCAGGGTCTCACTATGCAGTTGAGACTGACCTGGAACTCACGATGTAGCCCAGGCTGGTTTCAAACTCACAGCGATCCTCCTGCCTCAGTCTCCAGAATGCTGGGATTACAGGCATGCGCCACCACACCCAGCTAGGTCTGCATTTTGATTGCTGTGGTGGTTAAAGCACCTGTACCCACGTGAACAGGTGGCATAGGCTTGTACACACAGACTATACAAAAACAGTCAATTTCCTGTTCTTTTTGTTTTGTTTTTTTGAGACAGGGTCTCACTATGTAGTTGAGACTGACCTGGAGCTCACTATGTAGCCCAGGCAGGTCTCGAACTCACAGCGATCCTCCTGCCTCAGCCTCCCGAGTGCTGGGATTACAGGCGTGTGTCACCACACCTGGCTCTTGTTCTTGATACTGCACTGTAGCTCAATCAAATGTAATAATTGAGGGAAATTAGGTGAAGGATACACAGGACCTCTCTCCTTAATTCCCTGTGAATCGATAATAATAATTTTAAAATTAAAAAATTAAGTTGTGACTAAACCTGGCCAAGGGAAGGGTGTGGGTAAGATCAGGGAGACCATTCTGAAAGCTTTCCTGGCTCATGGAGCTGCATAGACATTTGAGGCATTGCCAGAAGCTCACTGGCTCAAGTGTAGGAGGTGGATGAGGTAGAGGATGAGATGGGGGGACATAGACAGGGACCAGATCACCCATATTAAGGACTCTGGAATTTTTGTGTGTATGAGTAACGAAGGAGCCATGGGGGGGCGGGTGTTGTACAGGAGCCTGACATGCTAATTTGGTGTTTTGATATCTCTGGCAGCAAGTAGAGACTGATAGAGGAACCATGAGGGGCTGTCATACTTAGCCACTCAAACCATGAGGGTGCCCAGATTACACAGGGCAGCACAAAGATAGGGGCATGGGCCGGGGATGTAGCTCAGTGGCACTGTGCCTGCCTGGCAAGTGCAAGGTCTCTAGTTTGATCTTCAGTACAAAAAAAACAAACAAACAAACAAACAAAGAAGACAAGGGCAGGTGGCAGACCTGCTGCGGGGGTGAGGACCCTGGGCTGGTCCTTGGGGGAGAGCTCCTGAGGAAGGGGCAGGACATGAGTCTCACACTTAGAATGGAGGCCTGGGACCTGCTCTTGCTGGGCAGCTTCAGCATTAGGTGAGAGGCCAGTAAGTAACACACATTTCCAAGATGGAAGTTCTTGGGTTTATACTAAAAAGACTTGGTTCAGACCCTCCCTGATGAAGGCTCTAGGATTTCTAGGTATTAGCCATTTTAACATGCACTGAACAGGATAGGGGTCTTTAATTATGTCCCAAATGTGCATTCCTCCCTCCAGAAGGAAGGAAGAGAGGGAAACCAGCATTTGTGAGTGCCTAGTTCTGTGTGGCAGTAACATGACCCACACGGCCACAGTCACGTTTCTAAGTGCTTCCTTTGGGCACGGCATTGGGCTAGTTGCTTGCTGTTATCTCTGAATTCCCCAGTAACCTGCCTGGCCGGTATTGTTACTGTCTTACATCAGAGGAACGGAGATACCAGGTGCACTATGGGCAGCAGAACCCGTTCAGAGCCTGGGCTCATAATCTCCACATCACATGGATGTGTCTTCCTCCGGTCCTGCCTGAGGGTTTCCCCCTCTGATGTTGGAGATATTGGGAGTGGCACCTGGATTCTGGTAAAGGAGGAAGAGATACCTGGGGTTTATGTCAACCAACATGCTGAGGGATAGAAAAAAGCTCAGGCCTCCCGGGTAGTCTTGTGTCTACCCTCAGGTTCTAGTTCTGAGGAAGCCCCAGGCCTCCAACCCATCTCTGTACTTTGCCCCCTTGCATAGCCCCTTCCCAGGCACCAGCAGACCTCTGTGTTCAGAGCTGAGAGCGCAGTCCCCAGAGGACCAGGTAGATGTTGAAACCTCTGCCAGGCACCGGAGAAGTGAGGGCTGCTGCTTCTAGGGAAAGGACACAAGGAGAAGACACTTCTGGCAACCCCCTGGACCCAAACCCCTAGGTCCCCTCTGTTCCCAAGGGCTGACTTCCCTCTTTCCTCTCAGGGTGTTCCTGATAGGTAGCATCTAGAGTAGAACTATGAGCTCACCTCTGGCCTCCCTTAGAAAGACCCGGAAAGTGCCCCTGCAGTCGGAGCCTGTGAACCCTGGGTAAGGAACTGGTCTCTGGGGTCCTTATCTCTCTGCCTGTCTCCTCCTTGACCATCCCATGAACACAGAAGAATGGCTCTTACTGGAGGCACTGGGGAATACAAAGAGGAGTCACATGACTTCCCTTGATTGGTCTCTGTCTCTCTGTCTCTATCTCTTTCTGTCTGTGTCTGTCTCTGTCTCTGGCTGTCTCTCTTCCCAGGACTGGGTATTGAACTCAGGGCCTTCACATTCAGCTATATTTTTCCATGCTCCCCACTTTATATTTTGAGACAGGATTCTGTTCATTTACCTAGGATCTCATTAAATTACTCAGTGCTCAGCTGCCTCAGCCTCCCTCGGGGCTGGGATCACAGGTGTGGGCCACTTCGCCCAGCACTAACCTTCTTGGTACCTGGGATCGAACTGGGAACCTTGTGCTTGTGAGGCAGGAGGTGGAACCACTGAGCCAAATCCCTGGCCCTCCTTTTTAAATTTTTAAAAATTATTATTTGTGTGTTTTTTGGGTTTTTTTTTTAAAGACAGTCTCACTGTGTAGTTCAGGCTGGCCTTGAACTTGCAATAATCCTCCTGCCTCATCCTCTGGAGTGTTGGGCTACAGGCCCGCACTACCACACCTGCTCCTTTCCCTTCATCCCTTCCTCTGGGGAGTGCCCCTTTGTGCTGACCTTGACCGGGAGCACCTTTCTGGAAGAAGCGGGCCATGCAGGAGTGGCTCCCTGGCGTCTGTCACTGTTCACTGCTCTGCAGGCACCACTGGGCTGCCGATCCTGGGCCAGGCCCTGTGTGGGGCTGTCTGGGGAGGGACTCGCTTCTAACTGTGTAGTGATTTCATCTTTGCAAAGGAGCTTTTGCCTTTTGTTTCCTTCTTGCTTTTTGAACACCACTTGGAGTCATTCTAGGGCCAAGGCCATCAAGAGAGGTTAAGCAACAGGCCTGTGGTCCCACAGCCACTGCTGAACAGAGTGAGGGCCCTACTGCGGTCTTTGCCACCTGGGACTGTGCTGCAGGGCATCCTGTTCTCTTCTGGGAGGAGCTGGGCACTGGGAAGTGGGTGGAGAAGTCCTGGTGCCCCTGCCTCCATCTCCTCTCTCCTGGGCTGGCGCCTGGGGCTGGAGTCTTTCCCCCGGGGCACCCAAGGGTCTTAACACGTTTCTTCCTTCTGCTTCCTTCCGGGATTCTCAGGAGGCGAGGGATAAGAATCTATGGAGACGGTAAGTGCAGCTCGGCCCTTGTGTCACCCTTACCTGCCTGGACCTCCTTACAGCTGGGCAGATGGGAAGGAAAGCAGAGGAAGGGCACTTCAAACCGCTGGCCAGCTGCCAGTCCGTCTCCACACAGCCCCGATCCCCCTGACCCACGGTGGGACTGGCCGTGGGTGAGGCCCCTCGGGTCCCTGCCCTCACAATCCTTCCCTGGCTCCTGTGGGCTCAAGTGTTTGCATCCCTGTGCCACTTCTGCCCCACTGTGGGGCACGCAGGTCCCCTGGAGCTGGGCGGGGAGAACTCTCAGAAGAGGCCCAGTTTGGATGGACCCTTTCTCCTCCCACCTCTGGAGTTTTCTGTCCTCGCAGTCATAGGGGACAGTGTCCAGGCTGCTTCACCCTGGCGGGGGCCCAGGACCTGAGCTCCCTCTGGGCCTTGGCCTCAGAGCAGTGACCTGGTCATCCCTGTCTGCAGAAGATGAGGTGGACATGCTGAATGACGGACACGGCTCTGAAGAAAGGCTCTCTGTCCCTTCGTGCTACAGCAGCAGAGCTGCCCCTGTGAGGAGCCAAGGTGAGAGCAGCCTGGGTCTGGGCTATCGGAGGGCCCCAGAGAAGGGTGAGTCCCTGAGAGCCACACCTCCTCCATGCCCCTGTGGGTCGGAGGCAGCTGACCACGGTCGTGTGCCTGTACCCTCAAACCTGTCCTGGGTCTGGTTCGGCATGAAGCCACTCCCCTGCCTGCTTAGTCCAGCCAAGCTAGGCTGTAGCAGAAGGTCTGGGGGCCCCATCAAGTGTGACATCAGTGGGTCCAGCACTCAGGGTGAGAGAGGGCGAAGGGCCTGAGGAGGAAGCTCAGCCTCTGGTCACCTGCTTCTTGCTTCTGTAGGGTCCAGACAGGCCTGGAGTCCGCTCAGTGGCCCATTGCACCTGGCCCACGGCATCTGCAAATGTGGGGTGGGGGATGATCAGGCAGCTTCCCAAGGGAGGGAGGATGGAGTGGGTCTCAGGAAATGGGACCCTGGGCAGGCCTGGAGGCAGGATGGGTGTGTAGAGCAATGGGTGGAGTCACAGTCTGATCTGGGAGTCAGGCAGCTGGGGATGGGGAGCACCTAGGCCAGTATTGGCCAGGACCTCGCGAGGTCCACTTGACAGAAGTCCCTGAGTCAGTGCTGGCCGCTGAGTGCTCAGCGTAGTGGCCGCGTATAAGGAAGTCAGCAGTAGGGAGGAGCTTGGCCATCCTTGATCAAACCCCTGCATGTGATGGAGAGACAGGACAAGCTTGGCCCAAATTCCACAGCCATTTAGTCACAGAGCCAGGGTCTCCGACACCCAGCAGGGACGATTTTAACAGCAACCACCGCAACCAGCTCCTCCTCTTGAAGACGGTCTGTGCCCTCTGCTTCTCCGGTCACTCGCTGTTTTCCTCCTTCCCAGCCAGTGTCTGTCCCCACCAAAGTCTTAGACAGGACCTGTCCATCCTGTTTCGCTTCCGACCCATCCCCGTTCCTTCCTTGGAGCACCCTCCGCTCTGGACGCCCTGTTCTGGCCTCCGCTTGCCCACTGCTGTCCCGATCTTTCCTCCCAGCTCTCTTGGCCAGCTCCTCCTTTTCCCTGAACTTGCTGGTGTGGATGTCCTGCGTGGGTCCTTCACTCTCCGTGCTGCCTCAGCGAGCTCGTCCACATTCCGTGTGCTGACAGCTCCTAAAAGCTTGCTTGTCTCAGGAGGCTTTTGACTGCAAGCCAAGGAGGACCCTCACTCAACCTGCATGTGCAGCAGGGACATATGTTATCCCGAGTGCTGAGAAGCCCTGACAGGGCAGCTCCAGGGCCACTAACTCAGTGACTAGAAGACGTCACCCAGAGTTCCGGCTCCTCTGTCTGCCCCTGAACCACCTCCAGTCCTGCATAGTCACAGGACAGTGGTTGTGGTGCCTGCTTCTCACCTGATGACAATGTCTAGGACAATATAATGACAAGAATGGCTGTTTATTCTCTCTCTCTCTTTTTTTTTTTTTGATAGAGGGTCTCATTTTATAGTGCAGGATGTCCTTGAACTTACTGTGGAGGTCAGGCTGTCCTTGAATTTGTGATCCTGCTGCCTCAGCCTCCTGATTATAGATGTGTACCACCCTGCCCAGCTCTCCCAGACTTTTTATTTTGAGAAATTTCCAGTATACAGAAAAGCTGAAATAACAGCATAGTGAACACTGGTGTGTCTCCCACTTTGATAACAACTGATGACATGCTACCACACTCTCCTCTCTCCACCACACACATAGGTGAATGTAAATGTATATTTTGATGAACAGTTCAGGGGGTCATGGCATTTCATCTCTACTTGGATGTGCATTTTCTAAGAATAAGAAAAAAATCACGATATTATTATCACATCTAAGAGCGTGAATATTCATATCATGCTAACCTTTATCTCTTTCAAATTTAAGTCTCCCTAGTGTTTCAAAATACCTCTTAGAACAAATTTCCTTCCCCATCTTCTACCTGAGCATCATGCCCCCTACTTAAAGCTCTTTAGAACAGTGACTCCTTTTAAAACAATGGCTCCCAAGCACTCATCCTGCAGAATGCCCCCCACTGAGGCCTTTTCTGTCCATCTGTCCACTCACAGTGGTGTGTACCTGGCTCCCTTATCCACTGCACTGCCTGCAGATTAGATCTTGAGGCTTGGTTAGTTTGGATTGGGATCACCTTTCTGATAAGACTTCAAGGTGATACGGCACATGGATTGTACCACTCACTTATACGCATTGGACAACTTAATGCACCCACGCTCTTCTACCTCATGAGCACGGATGATATGAGCTGATCTATGTAGTTTCAAGCAGTCCCTACCATGTGAGTTAGCTGCTGTTAGTGCATTCATTTCTGCTTTAGGGACCCTCTCCCTCTCCCTGGGACTCCCCACCTCAGCCTCTGCTCCAGGCCTGGGCTCTAGAGACTGTTTGATCTGCAGGCCCTGCCTTCCCGGACCCAGACCCAGACCCAGAGCTGTTGGCCTCCATGACAAGGAAGCTGCAGGACCTCGAGCAGCAGGTGCAGGCCCAGACTGACGAGATGCTGTCCAAGGTAGGAGCCCAGGTGGGAGGGCCCAGGAGGTGAGTGCTGGACCTGGCAGGGTGGGTTCTAAGGCCAACTCACCCACCTAGCTGCCTGGTTCGCTCCCTTGAGGTGGCCTGGGATTGATCTGAGTCCCTATGACTTCAGCAGAAAGGCTGGGGTCTTCAGGGCAGCTGAGCAGGGGCCATTAGGCCTGGAGCCAGATGGAGCAGCAGGATGCTAAACCAAGCTGGCAGACACAGGCACTGGGCCCCCTGCATGGGCTGCACATTTCCCTGCCTCCGAGGGACCACAAGAGTCACCTCAGGAGCAGTGTCAGGGTCAAAGATAGCCAGGGGCTCTGTGCTCCCTAGTTGCCCCATGTAGGCAGAAATTCTGGATCTTGGCTTCAAATGGCCGAAGGGACCCACCAGGCTTCATCCTCACCCTGTGTCTCCCTGCTTCAGGACCAGAAGATACTGGCCCTGGAAGAGTTGGTAAAGACCCTCCAGCAGCAGCAGGGTAAGAGACCCCTGGGTTCAGGCACCTCTCCGAGGCCTGTGGCTTCTGGAAGCAAGGACAGTTACTCCGGGCATTAGGACTCACGAGCATCAAGCTAACTCCTTGGTGGAATCTGGACAGCTTGGCCTGAAGAGGGGCAGTGACAGCTCCAGGACAGTGCTGCAGCCACCCAGTGCCCACCTATGCGGGACTGAGTCCCCTGCGACAGGGCACCTCATCCAAAGCACAGAGGAGACGAGCTCTAAGGGGATCAGTGGCCCCTGAGAGTCAGGGTGCTGCCCAGGACGAGGGAGGGGGATGAGGGGACAGCAGCTTTTGGGGACCCCTGGGGCAGAGAACTTGGCAGGCTCAGTTTGGGGCAGCTGAACCACCCCCATCTTCCCCTGAAGGTGACGTGAGCATGCAGCAGCAGGAAGAGCTGGAGACCTTGTGCACGCAGCTTCAACAGCAGGTCGGGGAGATGGAGGTGAGCGGACCCTGGCGGTGGTGACCAGCTGGCTTTCCCAACCTGGCTGTCTGACCCTCAGGAACGGCATCAGAGCCTCCCTCTCTGCACCCTTCCTCACTAAGCATTCTACCCAGCCAGGGCCCTGCCCCATTTCCCTGCCCAGGGCTGACCTAAGTCTGAAGAGCAGAGTGGAAAAGCCAGGTGTGGTGCTGTATGCCTATGATCCTAGCACTTGGGAGGCTGAGGCAGGAAGACTGTGAGTTCAAGGCCAGCCTGAGCTACGTAGCAAGACCCTGTCTTAGAACAAAAAAATGAAGTGTAGTCCCAGGAGATCCCTCCTGTCAGGCCAGTCATACTCTGAACGTGCACCTCTCCTGCATGATAGACCTCATGGCTCCCAGCTGGGCTCGGTTCCAACCAAGGTCCTTGCTGTGGCTCTAGGGCAGCCCCTGCCTGATCTCCACCCTCATCTTTTTTTTTTTTTTTTTTTT